TTGAGTGAGTACGCTGCGAAAAAGGAATTCTTTGAACCGCCTATTCAATGAACTGGAAATATTCGCGACATTGCGGCGAAAAGAAGAAGAGTAGACTCAAACTTACCACTAGAGACTATTCATGGACTTGATAGTCTCTATCATTATTCGTAACGACGTGTCACGTGAGCTCGTTTTTCCTGAAGACGATTAGAACGACGTACAGTTGGTGGTTCTATGTCGTTTGATGCTTCCGAGACCTGTGGTAAAGGTTGTGGTGTCTGGTTTGTGGTGGAAGGATCAACAGACATAGAACACGAAGAATAAATCTTAAGACGATCAATGAGAACAATTTGTCGCATTGGGCGGCCTACTAAATTTTCATAGTCGCATCAGGACGATTGACTTCTTTAATTATAAAAGGGCCTTTCCACTGGTTAGTCAGTTTTGGACGAACCGTGTCGTCATGCAAAAGAACTAGGTTCCCAATGGAAATGTCCTTTGAGTATACCTTGTTGTATAGGTCGTATCTCAGTTTGTATTGTGTCCTCTTCGAAGCGATTTCTCTGCCGACATCCATAATGACGTTTTGCAGGCTGGTAGCAAATTGGTCTGCAAAATCATCTGATGTCCACGAACTATTGATGGGTAGCTCGGGGAGAAGTCGCTCCATGTTATCGGGAATCTGCCGTGTACGATGAAATATGGGCTATATCCTGTAGTTTTATTAATGCTGGAATTGTGGGCAAAAACAATAGGTTGCAAATAGTCAGACCATAAATCGCGAGCATCAGAGCAATACGCTGTGAGAGAGTCAGTTATTACCTTGACAAGTCTCTCAACTTGTCCGTTTGCCTTATGGTTATAACTAGTGGTGAAAGAATTACTAACTCCTAGGGATTTACTGATTTTTGCAAAGACTGTGCTAGTATAATATCAACGATCAGAGACAAGTTCTTTTGGAATGCCATGCATCGAAATAACGTCGTTGATCAACGCTTTAATTACTGATTCCGTTGTTTGCTCTTAGAGTGGAGTGCATATCACACGAACTCGCTAAAAGCGCATACTGATATTGATATAAACTTACTTCCAACCATACATTGTGGTAAAGGTCCAATAACATCTGTGTGAACACGCTCGAACGGTCGTTGTGGAGTTGGGAAGAGACCCAGTTGTTCGCGAATAATGTGAGTGGATGGTGTTTTAACCTTTCGGCATACTGGACATGTATTTACGAATGTCGTTACACCTTGATAAAGATTTGGCCAAAAGTGATTTTCCTTGATCTTCTTATACGTTTTGTGTATTCCCAAATGTGATCCTAATAACGGATTTTAGTGCTATAAATCAATAATGTTAAGGATTTTTAGAAATAAATCTAGGAATACGGAGACATGCTAAAAGGGAGACCTAACGGAGTGAATAAAACTAGGTAGACCTCCTAGTAGAAAAAAAGGCAGCAAATACTCCTTATGCTCCATGACCCCTTCTTATATATCAGCTTATTAAGCACGCCTACGTAACAGAAACAATCATTTACCTCAAGTATTCGGACAGGGATTATCCACGCGAACGGTCCCCCTCGAGTGCACTTCCCAAAACTACAGTGTTTCAAGGTCATCGCCAATGGCATGCCGCGATCCTAAGTAAATAAATATATTTAGCATATATATTACATCCACCAATGGGGATCACTAAAACAAGATATATAAAAACCATCCCAACATTAGTTTGAGCCAAGGAAAATATAAAGACATGGCGCAATCTCTGTAATTTCATGAATTCCCCTATCTACATAATCAGTGAGGTAAGACAATTCAAATACAATGCTATTTTCCCAATATACTTCTAATTACGACCTAAATAATATTTAAAATCAGAGGGAACCACCTTCCCATCAATAATTCACATTAATGTCCTTTCTTTCCTCATGGCGTAACGCTAAGTATCATCAGGCAGCTCCATTCCATGCACATATATCTAGGTAAATGAACATCTGAAAAAACACATAATTCCTGAATCACCTCCACAAAGTCATTTATAATCAACATAGACCTTCACTACCTCAATGTTTCACATAATTACGACTCTTTTCAGCGATTAAAAGGAACATGTCCTATGTTAGGCCACCAAAGAAGGAATAGATTATAGGAAATGAATAGCTCTTTTCCAGCACCTTTCTTCGCCTCCCCAAGCCTACCCACTTTCATCACCTCTTCAGTGAGCAGTCATAGTGTTTATCCAGCGAGGGGAGGTTTTTACCTAATACTGAAAAGGAGCAGTATTCAGCATTAATCAGTTTCATGTTGAGGATACGCCCCGCATTTGATCTCCATTCATCTGAAATGTAGTGGTGCATTGGATGCATAGGTGTCGTATGTATTCATTGACTTGAAGTGGCCAGCCAACGTATAAGTCTGGGCTTTTATCCTTCCGAATAAGTCTAGTAGCAATAAATCGACCATACAGGATGGAAGACATGATTATCCTGGACGAGTATCGACCAGAGATTCGAACTCAGGACCGTGCGCGTACGTAGTCCCCACTTGCCACTGCACCACAACTAGTCTCTTAACATCTTTGAGTCTGGTATATGACATTTCCCCGAACAGAAAGAGTCCTATATATCTAACAGTGGGAGTAATTCTAAACTCTTTCTCGCTCGGCCGAAGCTCCTTTTACGCTCACTCCTTTTATGGAATCTGCGGAAATAATCTCACCTTGACCTATCCTTGACTCCAATCATTTCGTTTACCCGAGTAGACGAGTTTTTGGTCCATGGATACAATCACTATGCAATTCAACTTTGACCTCAAGTTCGTGGCGTAGTGTGAAACAGTTATCGTTAGAAATGAATAGGAGGCTTGTGTGGTAAAGAGAGTCGAATAAGGCGCATATATGTATAAATAACAAGTAAACAAGTAGGATGCATTCCCATAATTGCTAGCTATCAAATATACCGAAAAGAAATCTTTAAAAAAAAAGACTTAAGAACTGGTTTTACGCTGGCATCAGTCCTAATAAGCAAAGAATTCGAAGACGAACCTCAAACGGCTGTAAAAAAGGACCCTCATGTAGTCCTTCGATGGATAAGCCACGCACTCGGCGTACTTGCCCTATGCGCCTATTCTCAGTGACATTTACTTATCGTCACTCGAACTCTAACCAGCTGGCCTAACTGGAACAAGGGGAAAGCGACCTTGACGTGGACGATGTGGTGGTGTCTCACCAGGGTACCATTTACCGCTATGTCATTTCCCACTGATCGATTTTTTATACTCAAATAAATCAAACGAAAGAAAAATATTAAGTCTAAATATGTGTAAATGTAGGGCCGAGTACAGAATAGAGAACAGTGGCTGGGTATCGTTGTTTTTTACCATGGAAATCTGAACCCTTTTGACCCCTCCATCCTTCTCCCGTTCCCTCCCGTTGTCTTGTCTCCCAAAATGAATATCTGACATAGATTTGCTTAAAAAGATGAACATTATGATTGACAGATTGTCTTTTGATAGAAAGCTTTTCTTCTAGTCTGCTTGAAACAAGCCTTTCCCATCCTCTCAGTAATCCTCAAATACAAATGAGTCTGCGGTACATCTCGAGGAAGAAGACTAATTGTAGAGTCCATGAGTAATTTACCTTAGGAAACAACCTTTTTCACAATCAAAGGAAAATTTAACATGATTTACGAGCAAAAATTTCAAAAAATTGTAGCTCAGAAGGAACGCCCATCTAAGGAAGAACTGAGGGTTTATAAATAAGCTTTACCAGATAACGAATTTAAAGTGATACAACAATCATACGAACTCACCGTATACCGAGTTTGAAAAAATCAGAAACTACTCAAATTTAAACTATCAAACAATAACAACACAAAGCATGCCCTAAAACTGAGCGCAGGACGTTCTACACAACAAATGATACGGACAAGGTAGCCCTTTTTCAAATCGAACACATTTTAACAGACTACTCGTATTTCACTGAGTACAATTGTAAATAAAACTGAAAAACAAACAACAACAGACAAATTTCAGCAGATCAACAAAAAATAATCACAACAGGTATACCGTCAAATCCTCTACTGAAAGGTGTGAGAAGAAAGAATACAAAACTACTTTTAATCAGTATATCTACCTAATTCAAGTTTAGGCACAATATTCATCGACTGCAGCTCTTGGAAGAGTAATTTGCATGCATACGGAATCTTGATGTTAGCTAGTGATTTGCTCGATCGACAGTTCTGACACCAACCATGATATCCTATGAGACCGCAGTCCGAACATACTTCCACCTTAAGAATTCATCGATCACCTCTAGGGAATTCCGCCATGAAAAGTAGGAAAGAATTGATATTCAAGTAAAATTACGTTATCAACTTTCCAGTCCACAGATTGACATCTCAGTCGAAGTTTCCTTGTTAACGAGGTCGACTTCTCAAAAAGACTGTGGCTGCTTTCATAGTTGACGCGGACGCGCCGTGCCCAAGCCCCTTTGAAGGGCTGAAAATAAAGAAAAACAAGATAAAAAACCATTTGCGCAAGCCTCTGGTTGTTTGGTTTTTGATCTTGTTTTTCTTTGTTTACAGCCCTTCAAAGGAGCTTCGGGCGACTCGACTGCGTCGATCGACGGTCTGCCTCCCTCCTCCCCCTGGCAGTACCTCGGCTGGCACGCCGGCGGACTATGAAAGCAGCCAGCGTGAGAGGTCGAAGAAGCTCATTTGGAAACCAATTGAGCCAAAGAGTTATTCTATGGGTCGAATCAAGTCAGATCCTTTTCCGGATCAAAGTGAAGGGAGATATCTGATGTTTGGAGGTTAAACGGATCAGGCCATGCTAATCGACTTTGAGTGGAGAAATTGGGATGCTCCACTGCACTTCCGTTCCTGCAGGATGCCCTTGTATCTTGAACAGTAGTGTGTTGAACGGCTTTTGTTTGACAAATTGCAAGAGTCACATTTCTGTGGAGCAGTGTCCCTCTTCCTACAATCTACTGTTACGCCTTCACTACCCGGGATAGATGGGATAAACTGCTTCAAGGGTCAAGCGATCCGATTTGGCCCTGTGCCTGCCCGTCACCTGATCACATCCCAGCTACCGGGCATCGCATTCGTAAGAAAAACGGTGAATCCAACCTTAAATTCATCCGATGACACCATCAAGCGCTCCATCAGCAGCATCGATGCTCCGTAAGCTATCAAACAATCACGCTCCATTTCACCTAATCGAAGTCCACCTTCACGGGAACGGCCTTCTGTAGGCTGACGGGTTAGCACCGCTCTGTAAAAAACAGCTAATGTAAATCACCAATAACTACCTAAAATAGCAGAAAAAACACATGCGAAAGGAGTCCGTCTACAAAAATGTAAACTATCACACTGTAGGATTTATAATGAGAGTGTTCTAGTGTACCTTGGTCCTCGTGCTCTCGCATGCATTTTGTCAAGCACCATATGTTTGAGCTTCTGGTAGTAGATTGGTCCAAAATAGATGTATGCAGCCAGTTGTTGACCCGTGATTCCACTAGTCATCATATCTTTACCTAGGTAATTGTACCCACGCGATGCCAATTCGTTGCACACATCGCTAACCTAAAGCATGACATTGTTTTGAAACTGAATGAAAAAAGTTTCTTCGGAAAAGAAAGAAAAAAGGATTCAAAGCTCCTTAGCGCGGAGCAGCAAAGTCATCTGCCCCAAGCTTCCAAATCAGTCTGGGACCTGCGTGCGACAGAGTGAGGAGCGACCAATTAATGGGAGGACCTATTCGAACTTTATTACCACTTCAGAAGGTGAATGGAGCTAAGCTAATGTAAGTACTTTTCCAGAAACCTGACATCCTTTTTTAAATAAATCGAAAAATAGCTATTTTAGGATCGGTAATGTTGCCTGTGTTCCGCTCAAACAAACTCGCTCACCTGATCGCCACCGAAAGCTGTACCGTAGTGATAACGTCCACTTAGTACGGCATTCTTGCTGCTGAGCAATTCCATAAGCTTTCCCACTGTCATTCGAGATGGATATCCATGAGGGTTCATAATCATATCCGGGACCATACCAAGGTCATTGAAAGGCAGGTCTTCCTTAAAAAACAAAATCAAGTATGCGACAAGAAGGAACTCGCAAGGGTTTTTTAGTCGTTAAAAGTTCCAAAAAAAAGGAATGAGTATCACCTGAGCAGCAATCAACCCACACACTCCTTTTTGCCCATGTCGCGAAGAAAATTTGTCTCCTAACTCCGGTCGCCTAGAATAATAATTATATATAGGGTTGTAACATAAGTTCGTAGAGTTTTTTCACAGAGATTTATTTTACCAAAAAACAATAATTATAATAATAAATTAATCAGTGATGTATCTTCCTGTTACTGTTTGCGACCTCCTCCAATCTCTCGACCAATTTGTTGATGCCGTTTCGCCAAAAATCGGCTGGTCTGGTGTCAAAGAAGCTGTTGAGCCAGTTTCCAAGAACCTCTTCGCCATCGAAGGTAACACTCCGCATTTGGTTTGACAAAGAGCGGAAAGGTGGTAGTCGGTAGGTGCAAGACCCGAAGAGTACGGTGGATGCTGAAGAACCTCTTATTCAAGCTTTTGGAGTGCTGTCTTGACGACTTGGGCATTATGGGGCCTGGCGTTGTCGTGGAGCAAGATGACTTCACCTTGTCTATCGGGTCTTTTCAGCAGAATAGCCACACTAACACGGTTGAGCTGGGCAATGTAGACTCCCTTGTTGACAGTAGCATTTCGTTCGAGCATTTCCCAGTGCACCGTGCCTTTCCGGTCTCACCAAACGCAAATCATCACCTCTTTTGAGTGAAGGTCTTGCTTGACTCTCGGCTTCGGTGCCTCTCCTGGGGCCACCCAGAGACACACCTAGGACACCTTCCTCGTACACACTGCATATGTCCCGAGCGGCTTCGGCTGCTTATTGACCTCGATGAAAAGCAGATGTCGAAAATGCTGATTTTCCCCTCCTGGATATTCCAATTCTGAGCCAGAAAAAAGACGTACAACTAGACTATCCAAAAAAACGAATAAAACTATTTTATAGAGGAGAAAGAGCTCTTTCGAATGAATATATACACTTCGCCAAAAAACAAAGAGAATCGTTGTAAAATGACCCTGACACAAAACTCTACGAACTTATGTTACAACCCAATAATATTAAATTGCCTGTAGTTGCAATAAAAGATTTTCATCGCTCTTTGGTTATAAGACGAAAAAATTAGGTCAAAATACGAGGACAAAGTTTTTTTCCAGTCCTCCCATAAAACAACGTCACTCCGAGGGATGATTGGGTAAACTTCCTAGTATAGCATGTGGATGAGGAAGAGAAGTAGAGAGCAGTGCGATCAGAGTCACCCAAATGTCCGCACGTCTAAGCAACAGTTCTAATAATACAGAACTCCAATTCATCCAATACTATAAAGTTAAACGAGCCGGAATGCATGCTGTTAAGACGAAAGCTCCCCATCGCCACATGTTTTGAACGCCTTCGAAAATATGGAGGCAAAAGTTGTACATCGAATTAATTCAATTAGATTATGATATAAGAAAAATGTGCGTTTCGCATAACTACCTCGTTTGCCTGAGAAGGATTTTGACAAGATGTGCTTCCTCATCGTTGTAAGTCAACAGCACGCGCTCTGCATATGACGGAACTGGATTCTTATAGGTGATAGAAACATCTCTATATTCTATGGAACGAGTTCCTGCCATTGGAGCTGAAATATGTGAATGTAACGACATCGCATCCTCTATTCTAAGAACTATTGACTAAAAGGCAGGAGCAAGTAGTGCCACCATAACCATGCCGATAAATATGAAATGAACAAATTTTACCCTCTCTAATCTGTCAGTACATCCTATCGAATGACAATTACTGCAGTACTCGATTCAAATATAGCTGTACTAACTTTCATGCAGAGGCAAGATACGCATTTGATTGGCACTATAACTCCCAATGAAGGCTGAATTAGGGGCAAGAGCCCATGGCATCTTTTATCCCAGAAATACTCATGTTGCAGACTAGTTAGAACATCTACCTTCCACAACGTTACAAGAACAAGTCAAGACTCTCCCCATGCTTCCAAAAGTATAGAAGAAAAAGAAAAACGCACGTTGAGCTGTCGCCGCAGCAGCGTCTTGGGACACAACTGGCATGTGCTTGTTGATCATAGTCTGTTTCGAACAAATACGTGCCCCAGCAAAGACAATGCCTTCCTGATCGAGAACCTGCAAGCGGTGAAGATTTAACGTTTCCTGATAGTTTTGTGGACGATGCGATTATTCCATTCACTTGAGACTTTTTGTTACAACTTTACTATCAAAAGAAAATTTTTGTCAATCAATCAAATTTTTTCTAGCTTAAGTCGCAACTAAAAAGTGATGGTGGCCTTAGCGAGAGCAGATTTACAAGGAGACAGGATCAGCAATGGATGGGACTGAAACCTTGAAAAACGAATATTTCTAATAGAACATTCCAACATAACATATTTCTTACCTTATGCTTGTAGATCGGCTTCCTCGTGATTGGATCCAATGAAGGACCCATTAAGCGATCATATGTTTGATTAGGATACTTTCTAGCAGTTCCTTTAGCATGTTTATAAACCAAACATCTACCATAGCCTGAAGTACTTTAGCGTTGCGAAAAGAGTAGATTACCGCAAGACAAAAGAGTACCTCGATCCAGTGATGCTTTATTTAGAACTAGTGCGTCTTCAATATCATACCCACTATAAGACATGACTGCTATGATTCCATTAGCACCAGCTGGGAGCTTTTCAAAATTGATCAACTCAATAGTCTAAAACAGAAAACTTTTTTCTCACGAGGAACTGTAGAACTTCGATGGAAGTTTATAAAAAACTGAACGTCTTCTAATGCAACGGCATTCAAAACACACTTTCGACTTCACCAGCGGTCGTTGGGGATAACAAAGCAGGTACATTATGGAATCGATTCGCTTCTGCTGATTGTATCCTATGGTTCCCATGGCTGAAAAAGTCATAGCTTCACTAATGTTCAAGCACAGATAACAGCATTGACTTCAAAAGCCCTTCCAGAACTAGCATGGTCTCATAAAACTTTAGGGTTATTACGTGATTGAGGATCAAGAGACGTTATGTAGATCGTGTACCGAACATCGTAAGCAATCACTCAATCAAGCAACCAATATTGATGATATCACTCAACAACAATCTCATAAATGAACAACAAAAACGCGATTCATCCACAAAAAAAAACGCTTACCTTGTTTACCCATAGCACATTGATACGTGTTCCTAGGTGATTGATTGTGATGCGGGTATGGTATAAGACCAGCACAAACTCCGAGTAGAGTGAAAGGTTCTATCTATAACTGAAACCTCGTCAAACATAGAACCAAACATCTCCCCCAAGTAGAAATATAACCTCCAAATGGGTCGTTTTGGGATTTACATCTTTCTCATACACAGCAATATAGGCGTCATTCATTTCATTTACATCCAAGTATTCTATCAATCCGTCATCTACGAAATCTTCGAAAATACGCTGACCATCTTTTAATTCCTAAAATTTCGAATACAGTCGAGAATATCCATCAAAAAAAGTTCAGTCCGAAAAAAATCTTCACTTCAGTACTGTAGGTGACAAAAAGGCTTTCTCATCTAATGAAGCCAACTGTGACTTTATGAAGGATGCCTCCACTGGAGTAACCTATTGAATAAATTCATCAACCGGTATATCTGACAAGCTTGAACTCCAAGAACTCTGCACAACTCTTGACCTCGACTGGGTATATGTTTGCTCATAAATCACATAAAAACCCTTATCGTTCTGCGAATGCCTCAATACATTGAATGTCAGGATTAAATAATGATTACACCACTTGGTAATGGAGTAGGTTCCACAAAAACTCCATACTCTACCACCTCTCATTACATCGAATTGCCGCATGCTATAGACGTTTTCGGGAGCAAGAACGCGAGGAATGTTCGCTCTTTAGCATTAGCAGTGTACTGTGCTGTTATTCTTGAAGTCATTACACTTTTACATTATAACACTTTGAGAACATCGCCCCTACGAAGAACACAGAAAAGTGTGTTCGAACCTGAATATGATGAGGCTGGAGAAGAACTTTTCCATCCTCAACAATCAAATATGGGCGGCAGAGTCGGCCTCCATCACTTGCGATGTAAACAGCACGCAATGGAATGGATCGAGAAACGGATACAAACTCGGACAGCAAGCCACTTCTGTAAACCGTTGCTTATAAATCGCACACTCATTCAAAAGACCAGAATAAAAGCCATAAGTCGAAAGTTTATGGAGGAAATTGCTCTGTCTCAATGGGTACAGTAGACAGTCGACAAACAGAAAACATCGCCTTAGCGACTCAGAATCATGAAAATCCATAAAGTAAGGGATCAAGAGTATAGAAAGACAATCAGGAGAAATCATTGATACCAAGATTCAATGCAGGTATAAAAATTACTGAAAACTATTTACCTCCTCACTGTTCGGACTGCACGCACTACACGGGCTGGATCAACAGTAGTCCCAACCAGCAGACCATTAAGGAAAACTTGGTGGTAGTTTCTGAAAAGTTGAGATGAAGATTTACTCTCAGACTTCAGTGCTTTACCTACTTACGGATTATTGATATGGGAGAAATGCATATTTTGCAAGTCTTCCACTCCAGAATTGAAAAGCAATCGAAGCACAGGCTGGAATGAAAACAGATTTTAAGAATACGCCAATTCTGCGTAGAAATGCGATTTGGTTAGAGCCATGAGTGGCTATATTACAAAGTTGTCAAGAAAAACGTAAATTACATAATCAAATTAAACTTTAGTTATAAGTTCACTTCAGCGAAGTTGGACGAATAACGCAACAGATTAATTCATAAACTTACCCTCTCATCAGAATCGGTTGTAATATGAGATATGAGGGCTAAGTTTTTGACCAGACCGCAAGCTTCTCCTTCTGGCGTATCACTCGGACACAACATCCCCCACTGGGAGGGCTGCAGTGATCTCGGACCGGAAACCTACAACGGATTTTCTAAATATTAAGACTTAGAAAAAAAGAATCTTTAGCATCAGACATTCTCTCGATATAACCGTAAATCAACTGATCGACCAAACAAGAAAAAAAGTTCCCCATTTCCGCTCGGATATCTACGCGATATCACTCGGTTATCCCTTTACGACTTGCTCATCCACAGCCCAAAGAGAATGAGTAGGCCCCTACGTATTACCCTATGAGACAGAGCAATAAAAGGGGTTTGCTATAAAATACTCTTAATCTGGGTTAAAAGGTCCAATTTCATTCCCCTTCTCAGGACAAGCTAGTCGGTATTGTATGGTAACTTTATTCGAATTACCTTGCGAGTCTTCTCAAAAGTTGAATTGATCCTAGTCATCATTCCTAGAGCAGAAATGTATGACAGCCGACTCAACACCTGCAAAATTTTAGAATTACAAGGTTTGGCCATATCCTTAGACCAAACACTAACCAAATGTAATCATCAAAAGACATGAACAACGAATAGGGAGCCCAAAACCACTATAACTACCTGTGTCACTCCATGTCGTTCCATTCTGAACCGCTTAATTATCCAATTACCCGTAGACAGAGCATTAGCAATGGCATTCGTTATGAGATCCTTGAAGTTAACTTTGATTGGAACCAGTACACAATAATATACAGTGATTAATATAGAAAGGCAGACCTGGCGCATATGTTTGACAATATCAAGAGGTGCAGCAAGTGTTTTTCCTAATGAGTTGTCCGCTACTCTTTTCAATTCGGCGTTGAAACGTTTCAACACATCTTCGAACAGTAGCGACAGTAGCGAGCCGGCTAATTCAAGACGTTTGTTACCATAAAAGTCTCGGTCATCTAGTTCGCATTCACCCAACTCAGCTTGAATTAACCTAGAAAATCATGATGTTGAGTAACCGCGGTAGATGTTTTGTGAATGTGACATACCTCCTAGTCATTAAACCCAGAAATATAGCTTTCATCTTGAAATTACCATCATGACAAGGAATATGGCAGATCATAGAGCTAAAGAAGACTTGTTACGTTATTCCGAATGCATGGCTACCTCCTTGACTTATTGCTGATTACCTTGAGAGGAAATCAACTGCCTCATGTTCTTTTGGTACTGGAGTCCCTGCAGACGCTGCACCACCTCCGTACGGAGCTCCAAATTTGCGGGCTTTGATCTGAAAGGATCCCAGTCGAAAATACCAGATTCAGAATGACTATTACTGGGCATTACTTTCGTAGTTAAATAATTGATCGCTTGCTGTTGTGTAGAGATATGGTTGGCATTACACTCATCTAAAGAAGCCGCAAACGCGGTAACATACCTAAAACATTGATTACCTTCATACTTCATTACAAAAGTCATTTCCACAGATGATTTAACTCACTTCTCTTCTAGTCCAATGGCACTGATAATATTGTAGTCAGATTCTACACCCATAGCCTAAACAATCATCCAGTACTGTGAGGGATAATAAAAAAATGAAAAAGTTTACCTTGAAGACAATTGCGACAGGAACATCATCGTTCAACTGATTATGACGTAGCCAATACTTATTCCGGCGAGCAATCACATATGTTTTACTCTTTTTCTCAGCAGTGGAAGAGAGAACCTGTACAACTTTGAATTAGCTAATAAGTCTAGAAGTGGAATAAACTAGGAGTTGAGAAAAACTAAAAATAAAATAAAGTTCGATGTGACCGACCTCACACTGAAGATCTTTATTTGAATTTCTTCCTATCATTATCCTGTTTTTTGAGAGCTGTTCTTGAATCAGAATGACCTTCTCCGATCCTTTGACAATGAAATAACCTCCGGGATCATATGGACATTCCTGAACACGGGCCAGCTCCTCCTCAGCCTAAAGGTGGTCGGAGATTAGCTTAAAGGTAGTGGATGTACTGGTGCTGAGTGGAGACCATATCAAACATCCTCACCAAATCTTTCAGGATGCACTTGCTCGATCTAAGCATTATGGGCATTCGGCCAATGGTTAAATCACGTTTGATAACTCTTTGATTACCACGAGTGTACTCGACATCGACATTTATTGGAGCAGCATACGTCATGTCTCTTAGTCTACATTCTTGCGGCGTGATCTTATCATGAATCTGAAGATGGTGGGTAGGAACTAAACCATCAATCGACTTCTACATCGAAATTCCACGGAAATTACCTGGTTCAATCCCTCTTCACTTGAAGGTTTCCCCACACGAATATCAAGATACCTACAAAAAAAACCACCGATTGTAGGGTGAGAATACACATGTGTACTTGATCTTAAGAGCAAAAATAGCTTCTGCTTACTTAAGGTAGAAATTTGGATTGGCATCACTGGTGATCTTCTGATTCGCAAGCATTATTGTTTTGATTTCCTCGTTGACAAAATAGTCGAAGCTCACAATGTGCTGTTTGACAAGCCCCCGTACCTAAGAAGTAAATCGGGAACCTGTAAGGACTCAGAGCCGATAAGTTAATCAGAGACTCGTACCTTCAGAAACGCTGGCACAAGAAGCCATTTTTCATCGAGCGGCATCGACTTTTTTGACTGCTGAGTTGAGAGAATGGCCATTTTGTGTCAAATAAATCTGAATATTTGGGTAGTAGAAAACCTGAATACACTAAAATCATGCTTGCTTGTGTTTGAGAAAAACAGTCAGCTTCTTAGTGACTCAAACGACTCTTGAAAGATTATGCCTTACCTGTAAAAACTCCTAGAGATTACGATTGCCAAAGCACCCCTCGATATAACGTGGGTGGAGGACCACCTAGAAGTAGAAATCTGTTGAAAACTGGTAATCTATTATGAGCTTACAGCTTATGAGCTTGAGCTTACAAAAAATTGGTCGGATTGAATTATGCCTCACGAACTTAGAGCAATGATTTCCTTAACTCTAATATTATTTTCGAGAATCTTTGTGGGAATGGGAACCTCGCTACAGAGTTACAACATCAACGATGAGAATTCCCTAGCGACTGCGTGAGCCTGCTATTGTTTTTAAGTTGATGAATGGATAATGGCTACCCAGTCTTCAAAAAGAGTCTTCATATACATAGTTAATTACAAATTTGTATAACCTCTAACTTTTGTCGTAAAACAAGGTGTCGCTCTGTGTACTGCAGACAAGTGGTTTGCAATACCGTATCCAAACCCAAGATAGCTGTGTTTTGGATACCAACTATCTATTACGATAGAATAAGTTCCGTGACTTCCGGCACCCTCTCAACTTCCCTTTGTCAATAGGAAACTTGAATGCCAAAATACTAGGTGGAAAACCCTACTGGAACTTGGAGATTAAGGTCAGTCTGAGTTTGGCTAAAAGATTCTCTCGTTAAGGAGTGAATGAGTGGTATAGCCATTGCTAGAAACAATTCAGAATTTGTCCGTCAAGAACTCGGAGTTAGACGAAAACTCCCTCATTTGGGTGAGATCTCCAAGCCATTTACGGGCCTCCTGCACTTCTTCGCCCTCTGTCAGTGACACTATTAGGTGGTGTGTGTTCAAGGCCGGTGATTTTTTCGTGGCAGTACCTTAGTCACTTCAAATTATCTCGGAAGAAACCTCATCGAATTCAATCAGACATCATAAAACACTGCCTCGGTGAAATGTCATTTAATGGTACCAGGCTTGTGTGATAGAATGAAAGCCTTGACTTGTTCATCAGCTGTCCACCGTTAGTCATTGTGTAGGCCACATACGCATTCATTCAGTAGGCCACCACGATCCTTAATGGAAGTCGAATGTAGGAGCAGACGGCATTGAATAACGCACAAAGACTTTGAGCTTCTACGTTCAAGAGTACCACGTCTTGAAGAGTACTCCAGATTCCCCTTATAGAGCATTCAAAAGTTTTGGGATTACAGGATATGTGCGGGAAAAAATCAAAGTTTTTCTTGCCCCTCAAGGATGACCAAAACAAGTTAACGAAAAGAGTACTTCGGTAATATTGACTCTTTGTTCTCTATTGGCAACGAAAGCCATTCATATTGTCAGTATAGGTAGCTGTCGCTGAGATATGACAGCTGCTTAAGTACAAGTCGTTTTTCTCAATCAGCTCCTACATTTGAGAGAAAATTGTATGGGACTTGTAATATGAACCTTACCATCTCCGGTACTCTTTTCACTTTGATATGCTCTCATGAGCTCATTGAAGAAGAAGTCAAGATTTGGAATACGTCAGGGTAGATTTAAGGGATCTTTGTAAAAAGTAGACAAGGTTTCATCTCATCGCTGCGCTTTACGCATTCGTAGAGCAATCTAGCTGCGGTATCTAAAACTTCTTATTCCCTGTCCTTTACCCATATTGACCCTCTTTCCTAACTACTTCCATAGAAAGAGTAGCGTCTCGTGAACAACTGTCAAGATGCGCTTCCTCTCAGTTCCTTTTGGATCGGCTGTTGCGCAAAGGCTGGAGGTGCCACAACACTTCTGCTTAGTCCGTAGAATCGGCTCCTTACTAGTCAAACTATGCCTTTGATCATTCTCGTATTGGTTCATCGAATTCGATTCTGGTTGATAGGAAATGTTGGCACTATTGTCCAACCTACTGCTACCCTAAATATTTCTATTCTTGACGCATGGCGTATCCCCCGAGGGATTCGTTTCTTGTCAACACTTCATCTGATTAACGAATCATCTACCTTAATCCAATTACTAACTCACCTAAGGACTCCTTTAGGAACGTTTCGTAAGCCTTCTCTTTCCCGAACACTTCTTGCACGAGTGCTTTAGGAAAGTACCAGGACCCCACCGTCTGTGAACTGGATGGTACTTTTCCTTTCGAAGGGCTCACATCTGGTAAGGTCCAAGAACAAGACACTCTGAATCGACCATGTGAACAAAATTAATAGGAGTGACGTAGGACTTAATTCTTCCTTGAGTCTTGAACAGTTCCTTAATGAAACGCGGGGATAAAGGATCTTCAGTAATCCAACTGTGCTCGGAGCAGAACCGGCAAATCAGCGCTTCCACGGTACGATCTCGTGAAGTATGAAATTCGCTATCGTTTCCTTGAGATAAACTCTCCTCGAAGGGGATCAGATCCCTTGTTTTCAACTGGATGGAGCCAGATCTCGTAGCGCCCATACCGATGTAACACATTTGCATATGCCTGGCCGAAGTTCTTGATCCGTCACCGGAAGGGCGCCCGGAAGCCCCATCTGTTAGGAAGAAGGAGGGGTATGGGTACATACCCATGTACAAGTTGGTAAGGGAGAAGCTTCAAAAAAAATCGTACAATTGAAGTGTCCCCTAATCAGTACCGCATGACATCCCGAAAAAACCCTCAAACGTGAATTTATCACATTCCAATCGGTGCTTGCATGGCACCAAAAACAATACCCCTCCGATAAGACAATCAGATCGGTGAAAAACACCCACCCACTCTTTCCTTTTCGTAGGCACTGAACTTCCAGACCCCCTTGACCCGGGGCTTTTTTTCTCAGGTGATTTCCTAGGTTGATCAAGGGTTCCAAGCCGGCATGTGCAAGTGTGTTACATCGGTATGGAAGCTTTGGCGAGCATTGGGCCCGAGTTTCGAGGGTACGACAAATATCTCTGCTTTCTCCCATCTGGATACCGTATCCCCCACTCACACTCGTCTTCGTCAGCCTCCGTTTTCTCGGTAAACTCTTGGATTCGGGGTATGCTGCGTATCCGATGAACAAGTGCTCTTTACAGTCGTATTACATCCGGACTCGCTCCTCCTCAGGAATAAAAATAGACGCTCTGGGGCGTAGCGCAGCAAATTCTCGCTGTACACTGCGCGTTAGCCGAGTGAGACTCTAGTCGCGTAGCACCGCACGTTCAACATGCCGTCTCAGGGTAAGTCCGATCCATCCCGAATACTGATTTTCGTTGCAGGACCTGCGTATGTTAATGTGAATACCGAATACTTACAGATCAACTCAAAGAGATCTTCAACCTCTACGATGAGGAGCTCGATGGTAAGATCGACGGCACCCAAATTGGAGACGTCGTCCGGGCTGCTGGACTCAAGCCGACCAACGCCATGGTCGTCAAGGTAACTTTTCACAACTTAGTCGATCAATTTATATCTTTTTCACTTGGAACCTTTTCTCAGTCTTTTGCCATTGGAGCATTCAATAATTCTTTGTGTAATTTAGGCTTCGGGACAGGAGTTCAAGCGCAAAGGCGAGAAGCGCATTACTTTCGAGGAATGGCTGCCGATCTTCGAGCAACTGTCCAAAGAAAAGGTAAATTTTGATATTTTATGATATTCACCATTTTCAAGACATTTTTGTCAAATTTCATGCTGCTCACTCTGTTGTATGCCGTCAGTCAGTCAGTCATTCAGTTGTCAATCTGGTTTCCTTCGCCACCATTTCCCTAGCATCTCTTGATCTTCAGCAGTCCCTCAGTATGCTCTTCGAAAGCCTCGCCGTATGCAC